GGCGGCAGTTCATATGGTCTCAGAGTCGGGCATGACTGAGCGACTCACACTTACTTACTTACTAACTTAATACTAAAGAGAGTTTAAAATTTCTCATGGAAGTTAGTTGAAAAAGTTATATTTTTTAAGTCATTAGAAAAAAAAGAACACTATTACCCAAAGTAAATTCTTACCAAAGCAACCAGAGGACAGGAAAGGATGAAATAAGGTGAGGTATGGAAAAGGAAATAGCAAAATAACTTATAATATGATACGATTGTTAAATGGAAAAACCCAGGAGAATCAGCTGAAAGTAGCTATCTAAAAAGAGAGTTGCAAAAGCGCCTGGCTTTCAAATCGTTAAAGGAGAATAACTTTCTTACACGGCAAGACAAATTTGTTGGAAAATAATAATGGAAGAAAATCCCATTTAGTAACAAGGAATAAACTTTGTCAGAAATAGGAACATCTATGTGAGGAAAACTATAAAACTGTACTAGATAACTTGATAGGTAACTGTACTAGATAACTTGAAAATCTTTAGTACATGAACTGACAAAACATTCCCTGAATTTTTTTAAGATGTTAAGTTTTTGCAGATTAGGTTTTATTTCAATTTTAATACACGTCCTGATAAGATTGTTTTTCAAAGGGGAAGGGAATTCTTAACAAACATATAAAAGATTCATCTGGAGGATAACATATAAAAAGAATTATTTATAAAATTCTTCTGGAAGGATAGTGTAAAATAATCAGAGTTGATGGATAGAGAATTGCCTTATCAGAAATTAAAATAATGCTGTATAAGTAACATAACTAAAAGTATTAAATGTGTGCTCAAAAAGATGGCAAGATTGATGGAACACAATAGAAAGTCTAAATGCCGACCCAAGTCTGATATAATTTGTGTTGGTATATAATAGACTACATTCTGTTTCTAAGATGTCATTGGTTGAAAGACACCATTTTATGTACCTCAAAGAAAGAAAAACATGATTTCCATTACACCATTACAAGCACTTGATGAGAATGCAAACTGATTTCATAAAATTTAAATGTGAAAAAAGCACATTGTTGAAATAATGTGAATTTATTATTTGAGGTGACAAGTTATTAAAGGATGAATAACTATTTAATTTTCGTAAGAATCCAGTAGCAATTTAGTGGGGGGTGGGAGATTAAGTAGAATTAGAAGATTAAATATGATAGAATGAATCTGTAAAAGTGCTCGAAAATATTGGTTTATACGTAATCTTAAAACAGGAAGCTTCTTTTAAAAGCAAGACACTATAGTTGAAAACTTAAAAGATGACTTACTTGAGAAATTAAATCTTTTCTACAGCGAGAAACTTCCTAAATTAAGATAATTGGCAAATATCTTGAAGAAAATATCTTGAAAAAAATTTTTTGCGAGGTAGGTCAGAAGGGTATAAAAGGGCAGGTCTTGTGTGTGTTAGTCACTCAGTCGTGTCTGACTCTCTGTGGACCCCATGGACTGTAGCCCGCCAGGCTCCTCTGTCCCTGGGATTCTCCAGGCAAGAATCCTGGAGTGGCTTCCCATTCCCTTCTCCAGGGGATTTTCCTGACCGAGGATCCAACCCAGGTCTCCCACAGTGCAGGCCAATTCTTTACTGTCTGAGCCGTGAATATTAACAGTTTGGGCATCTCCCCATGTTGTGTGGGAAAGAAGGCCTGAGACCACAGGCAGAATGTAAGAGGTGACGCCCTGCTCTGCCACAAAGCCAGCAGGAAAACTGGTTGGTAAGAACATCTGACCCCTGGAGTTATAGAAAAGGAAACTTCAGTGTGTGATTTGAGAAACTACCTAGTTCCCTTCAGCATAATTTCCAGAGGCCTTCAGCTCTCAGAACTGCTGTTGTGAGCATGTGAAATAATGTCTGTACAAGTACTTTGTGAACTAATAATATTACATAACACTGATATTTTATTATCTGTGCTGCTTGGTTTCACCTAATATGTTTTTGAATATTTTATTTTGTGGTTGTACATAGTGATTGATTTTGGCTGAGTGATTCTGTTTTAATTTTGGTTCTGCAGTGACTACTTTGTTTTTATATGTAAGTGCTTCTGATTTTATATCACTTGCTAGTAGATGTGGCGTTTCAAATGACCAGTTTTAAATTGCATTACTATCCTCTTCATCCATTCTTCCACATCTTTAAGAAACACATTGTGAAAACTGTCTGTAAATGGGTCCAAGCTTTACATTTTCTCAAAGAAACCTGTTATAAACCTTTTTATTCTTCATAGATTTTTTTTCCAACTTAGGTATTTCTGTTTAATAGAGTTAAATTTTATGAAGGGTAAAGAGATCAATGAGATTATCATGAACGCTCTCTATAAATGTGACTGCTTTCAAAGAAGAATCAAAAGTATATTCCTAAAGGGATCACTTGTCCTCATGCATTTTCTTATGCTGAGCATTACCCTGTCTGCCGAAAGGGATCACTTGTCCTCTCCCCTTTTCTTATCCTGAGTGTTACTCTGTGTCTGCCTGTCTGTCGAGGTGGGTTTTGACACGTGCTCGCTATTCTGCCCTAAGATGTGGTTGGTACAGACAACTCCTGCTGTTTGTATGCTGAATATGCCGTTTTAGTACCTTTCAATTCCTGGGGTATTAATACCACTTACTGGGCTTCCTTGGTTGCTCACCAGTAAAGAATCTGCCTGCAATGCAGGAGCCACAGGAGAAGACACAGGTTCGATCCCTGGGTTGGGAAGATCCCCTGGAGAAGTAAATGGCAACCTACTCCAGTATTCTTGCCGGGAGAATCCCATGGACAGAGGAGCCTGGCGAGCCAGATTGAGCCTTGTGATCCATGGGGTTGCAAAGAATCAGACACGACTGAGCGGCTAAACAACAATGTATTCATTCAATGATTGACTGAGGCTTAGATCTGAACCACTGTCCAGGAAAGAGCTCCTTACCTCGGCCCCAAGCCTAGCAGACCGGGCGATGACCACGGCTTGTCTTCTCCTTTCCATGTGTACAGTCAATCTTACAAAGTGACAAAAAGAAAAATCCTGTTTATGAAAAGTGGCCATCAAGCAGGAGAAAACTTAGTAACAACTGAAAAGCTGTTATATTGTGCTATGAAGATAAGGAATGCATGACTCTCAAGAACATGTGATGTGGGAGATAGCCAGATGCCTACATAAACAGTCCCATGTTTATAATTTGGGGATTCACAAAGGTTGGAGGACATAACCCTTGTGTTTGCACTGTACATGGTATGTGGTCTTTTAAAATGATGCATGCTGATTGCCATTTACTCATGGTTTTTACTTGCAGTGTCCAAATTTTAAGTTTTTCTTGATGGAATAAGTGTTAGAGACGTAGCCTCTGCAGTGGTGATACTGGTAGATAAGGATGGCTTTACTAAATAGAAAAACTCCCACAAACAAAGAGCAGAAGGAGGATACAGATAATTTGTAGTGTTAAAAATAAAGTGCACACCAGTGGTGATAAAGGGACTACATGTGCAACCAGGCATCATTTCACACTCTCTGAAATCCTTTTGTGCTCCAGGAAAAATAAAGAGATAGCCAACCACAATCTTCATGGGAAAGTAATTGGGTCAGAACTGTAGTCTTGCATCCTTTTGTTAATTTGGTAAACATTTTTTGAGTCCTGCTGTGTGCCAGGCCTGGCTAGCTAAGGAAGTGGAACTGAAAAATAAAATCTCTTAAGTCCAGGATATGTACAGTCTAGAAAGAGAGACAGAAATAAAGCTCCCCATGATCCTCCAGCTGATAAAAGTTAAGGAGATAGGAGAGGTGTCTGCCTCCCCTGGGGAAGTGGAAGGCCTCTGGGAGCTCCCTGTGAAGGGCAGGTAGGGATCTACATGTAGGGATCTCCTGGACAACAGGAAAGAGACTGGGACCAGTGGAAGACTACAGGCAAAAGTGTGGGTGAGCAAGAGGCAGTCAGGAAACTGCCAACAGTCATCAGACAGGGGTAAAAGGCACAGGGCAGCTCTACGGTAATAATCTGGTCTTTGGGGCTAGGCTGAGCTGGGGTTTCAATTTTAAATGTAAGCACTCTGGAGCACATGACTTGACCTTCCTGAGAGTCAGTGTCTTCATCTTTAAAGCGGATGCGAGCGCCCCTTTCTCATAGTGTGAATCATGCAGACCGGAGTCCATGTGTGTCCTGAAGCATCGAGCACTGCGCCTCCTCCACAGTGGGCCGTGATGGAAGTCTGTGTTATGTATGTAGAGACAGAAGAGACAGGACGTTAGCAGCACTGTTACCCAGAGGTACAAGGTCATCAGACTCCTCGCAGAGACCCCTTACGATCGGAGCCCCATAGAACAATGAGTTCAGTTACGATTTGACATAGTCTTCCATTTATATATACTATGTGTTTGACTTTCTAAGAGAGACCAGGACTTGGGAGGTTTGCTTATGATTTTCTTCAAAGATTAATTCTGCTCTTATATCTAAGTAAATAGTCATTTCTACATGCATTTATTTGCAGTATCAAAAATGATTGGAAATATTCTCCTGGATGCAGAGGTACATACTTGGAATTTGAGACTGTCTCTGTGAACTGTTTCCTGCATTCTGTTTTGTGGATAATTGTGTTTTTTAACTTCTGATTTCTCAGTAAGGAAAGACAGCCTGGGTGACCCAAAATTCTGATGTGCATCAAAATTGTTCTCTTGGCAAGAGTACAAAAATCCAATTAGTCTCCAAAGGACAAATTGTCTTTGGGGATTCAACTGATATAAAACTTGTGACAGAATCTGGAAGAAAATAGTACTCTAGGATCTTTTTGAACATAGACAACATACATTTAGGACTGTGTGAAACAAGTTTGCATGTAAATTAACTCAGTTCATTGTTCTAGCTTATATGTGTGAGGATCCTTTTGCCTATTTGGAGATGCCAAGCACTCCTAAAAGAAAAGCCCTAGACCTTTGGGGGCCTGTGTTTAAGTCAGTGCATATTGTGATTATGAATAGTAACATCTGTTCAATTTCTTGGATTATTATAGGGGTTTGCCAACTTGTTAATAAGATGGAGGAAACCACTGGCAAAGTTAAGCCTTTCAACCGAAACGATGAACAGTTTCTGGAAGCTTTTGTCATCTTTTGTGGCTTGGGGATCCAGAACACACAGATGTACGAAGCAGTGGAAAGAGCCATGGCCAAGCAAATGGTCACGTTAGAGGTGGGTGCTCCGGCAGGACGCCTCGGTCTCCCTGAGCGCGCTCTCGGCCGACGCCCCTCCCTGCGGAGTGCTCGGGGTCTGTTACATCACTGTGCCCGGTCGAGAACCACGTGCTTCCTCTCTCCTCACTTAAACAGCTAAGGAAACTGAGACCCAGCATACTTGAGAAACTTGTCAAAGGTTATACGACCACATCAAAGCTCAGGCCCCGGGCCCCTCCGTCCTCCGCTCTCTGGGCCGAAAGCGGTCCTTGGACCCTAGTGAGGAGCTCCTCACACTGATGATAGTCCCCGCCTTGTCTGTCCTTTCTCCACTGCCTGAGCCTCCCATTTCTCCTCATGAGCAGCTGTGTTCACACATCAAAACAACAAAACCAGGTATCCCAAGCACTCAGAATCAGAAATGAGGAAAAGGGAAAACTCTTCCAAATTACAGAATTGTGGATCTTGAGAAAATTCTGATTCAGTACGTCCTGGGTGGAGGCTGGGAATCTGTGTGTTTCTACCAGCCTCCCCCAGGTGATTCTGAGTGTGAACTACTGGCCTGGGGCCTGGCCTCAGACAAGACTCCCTCCCAAGCAGGACGCACCTACCCACGTGAGCCAGCCGTCTCCAGACGTCTCACTGACTGCCTGAGAGCATTCACTTTGTGCAAGATGGAAATTTCTTACATCGTGGACCAGTCTAGGGAGTTAGACTTCAGAAAGGGCATTCCCTAGTCATTCACACACTGGTGTGAAATATATTTTAGTGTTTGCCTGCTTGTAGTCAGTAGAGATCAGTAGAAATCAATGTTTGAGTTACAGATTGTAACTTTTCCTCCAGCTGTTTACCAGTACCCAAGATGGTATACTTTCTAATGTGAATATAAAACTCCAAGTAATTTTAGTAAAGTACTATATAAGAGACTTTGGATTAGAAATCAGTAGAAATCTGTTTCAAATACACACACACACACACACACACACACACGTATACATATATTTTACATTAAATGTATGCATACATATGTATGTACATGTGTGTGCATGTGTATATACAATCTTTAACATATTTTTTTACTGTTTCCATGATGTACTGAAGAATTGACTCTAAGCCAGCTACCAATTAGAAATTAATCTCTTTTTAAACATACTTCTTATTTGGAAAATTTCAAACATAATGCTGAAGTAGAGAGGATAACTAGGAAGCCCCCATGTCTTCATTAGCTGTCTTCAATAATTATTGACCTGTGGCTACTATCATTCCATCCATACTCTTGCCCACTTCTCTGCTCTATTCTTCCCTATTAATCCATTGATTATTTCGAGACAAATCCTAGGTATAATTTTGTTCAAAGTTTCTGAGTATTTTCCTCACTGAGGTTTGTTTCTGCTTTTACCCTGTAGTTTTATTTCAGTTAAAAATGAGTACTTGTACTTTCACTTAGTATATACTAATTTCAATTCATTGTAGGAAATCATATCTATGATCACAGATTTAACCTTGAAAATCTTTTCTCCCAAGGCATTGGATAAAACCTAGGGACATAATCCCTTATGTTTTCTTCGGGAATTATTTTGAGCTAGAAGACATCATTATAATGACAGTAAAACAACAGTAAATAGCTAACCTTTATCAAATGCTTACTCTGTGTTCTCACATGTACTAACGAAAGTTAATCCTTACAACCCTATGAGTATGGTGCTGTTTTTATCTTCGGCGTGTGATAAAATTAATTTTTTAAACTTAGCGTGTCATGTTATTCCTTTATTCCTTTGCCCATCTTGCATTGCATTGATTTATACTAGACTAGTTCAGGGCCACCGTCTTAGCCTTTCTCAACAGACCGCCGCCCCTGGTGTCAGCAGCTGTGACCTGTCAGTCTCATGGCAGCGGGAAACAGCAGCTCCGAGGTTCCCTAGGTTTCCCAGTGATTAATGGCTCAAACCGTAAGACAAGTCATATGTATTACCGTACTATAATGTTCTGAATCACAGTATATAGACATACTTACCATTTGACTTTAGATTTTTAATTGCTTACAATTTTAAAAACTAGTTCGAGGAAAACTGGTTTGGGCCACTGAATTACTTGACTCACTGTTTAAAGTCTGAAAATGAGGTACCTTTTTATCACTGACCCTAAAACTTTAAGAGATTTTAGTAAGTCTGTGCTAACTGTGTCAAAAACGAACTTTTAAAAATATTTAATATGATAGACAATTTAACATGTCTATTTAACATGACAATTTAACTACCCTGGTTTAGAAGAACATCTAAAATACTGTCCCATCATTTGGAAGTTATCAGTTTTGAAAATGGGAATTAATGATTCACATGTTAAGTTATAGGAAGATAGTAAATCTGCCTTACTATCTTCTTGTAACTCCACCAGGATGGTGAAAAGTGTACGAGATTAGGAGATGAAAGCTGGTCCCAGGCCCTCTTCTCACTGGGTGTGAGCTCACAGCCAAGTGATGAGACTCCCTGGGCCGAGGTGTCATCTGCTGTTAACAGATAGGATTTATAGGCCACCTCTGCTCTTCTCCATTCTTGAATCCTGTGAGTGGAAAAGTATCCCTGAATCTGTGTGACATTTATCTCTCTGCTATGCGGTTTTTCCTAATGAATTCTACAGTGGTTACAGGCCTCATCCAAGAGCCACTTCTAGACCGCTTTCTTCCTAACATCAACATTACAATGTCAGCTTATGCAGAAGTCTTTTATCTTGGCTCAGTACACCAGTAAAATAGCTAAAGTCAGTATTTTTGTTTAAGAAAAGCAACACAGAATTTTCTGCCAAGTTTGAGCGAATAGTGTGACTTATAAATAATGTGTTTGTTGTATCAACATTGTCAGAGGAAAAGTGACAGTTTTCTTTGAACACAGGGAGTATAACTTTCCGTTTCCATAAGAAGCATTTGAATAAAAATCCGAGATTTTCTCTCTGTTGAAGAAAGCAGCAAAGAAGATACGATGTTCTGAGGAGTCTAGATACCTCTGCAGGAAGGCTTGGGAGAATCCCAGGCTTGAAGTTGCGGTCTGTGTTGGGTATTCCTCTCTTGTATAACATGCATTCCTTCTGTTCTCGCCCCGTAGGTTCTGTCTTATCACGCTTCAGCTGCAGAGGAAGAGACCAGAGAGCTCCAATCCTTAGCGGTAATCCTCCTTCTCCTCCTCCTTCTCTGTAGAAATGACTAACCAGAGGCAGCTAATTAAGACGTAGATATGCTTCTCTCAGGGCAGCTGCTGCTGCGGGTAGTGGTCCCCTAGACCTTTAATTAAATGTGGTAAATATTTATATGGACATTTATAAAAAAAGTTCTAATCAAACCTATTTTCTTGCAAGGCTAGATAGAAGTTCAGTGATAACACAGAGCAAATGATAACATTGTATTGATTTTGTAACACATTAAATGATTCTGATATTTTCCCAGTAATTGTTATAATCTTTACATCTTTCTTAAGCCAAAATTAAATTTAGTTTTTGGTTCCTGGGGAAGTGTGGGCAGGGGGATTGCAAGGTGGTTGTTTGGTTTGAGTACTAACAACAAAGATTTCATGGCTCATTACTGATAACGTACTCTGCGTTATTAAAAATGGAGAATGGTTTTAATTTCTAACCATACGGCTTGCAGAATGTTATTTGAAATTGGGTTCAAATAAGGTCAATTCCTGAATTCTCACAAAGTTCTTATTTAGGATGGTAGGAGAGAAAAGCACATTGATATGTAAGAAGGTCTTGAGTTTGGGGGTTGGTTGAGATTGCCTTGGTTGAGGTTAATGAAAACTCGAAGCACTTCCACACTGACAAGCAAGCCTGCCTTCTCCGTTTCCGCTCACGTGAAACAGCGTAAAGTGTGTGTGGGACGTCCTGGGAGCGAGGTGGGTGAGAGCACCGCCGAGGCCACTGAGATTCCTCCTCTGTCATCGTCATTGTGGCTTGCCAAATGGTCGCCCCTCATGCCCTTACATACGCTTTCCCATGTAAACTGCGCAAGCCGTGCCGTGGATGCCGAAGCGTGCGGACTGGCCCAGGGTCGCCGGCAGAAGTGAAGAGTCGGGAGAGACACTCGCACCGTCGGTCTCCAGAGCGCCGCCATCAGCGCTGCCCCGTCTGTGATGATCTTTAGGGAGGGAGGAGGTTAAAGATGCTTCAGGCGTTCTGGCCTTGGTAGTTCAAAGAATGATCATCCCCTTCATTAACCAAAGTGGAAATATTCAGAAGGAAAAGGTAGATTTGATGCAGAACACGGTAAGTTTGAGATGTGGGTGGAAAACCAAATAGACATCTTGCGCGCTGGGAAGGGCAGGTGCAGAGTTGGGAGGGGCTGGTGGCCAGAAGAGAGGCGGCGGTTTGGAAGTTAAGGGATAGGGCCTGGGGTGGAGTCCCAAGACAGTGAAATAATAGGAATGGAGCGAGTGCGGGAGAATGCGGAAAGACGCGCAAGGCTAAGGGCAGAACTGTTGGGGTATAGTGTAGATGGAAGGTGTAAGAAAAGAAACCAGCTAAGGCAGACACATGGCAGTTAGACAGGGAGGCAGATCTAGGGCAGCAAGCAGAACAGTTTTTATGAGGAAGGAGATCCCATCAGTTGTTGCAGGAAGGTTGAGAAACAGGACTGAGAAAAGGCTGCTGGATTCAGTGATTAGGTGATGGTTGAGAAGGCAGCTTCAGGAGTGAAAATGCAAAAGGTCAGACTAGATGGTGAGAAAGTAGAGGAAATGAATAGTAGTTTAAAAAGTATGTTTTGTATGAAAGAATGAAATAGCTACGAAGGGTGTTGGCTGCATCGTGTGAAGTTTTTTATTGTTTTGTGTTTGTGAGCAATTTGCTCACAAGCAGGAGAGGCAACACGTTCGTGGACAAAGGGAGAAGGTCCAGGGTGAGCATGAGACTAAGAATGTAGGACATAGATCTACATAGATCCAGTGACATAGATCTGGGCCTTGTAGTGGTCTAAGCATCACAGAGACGTCTCTTTGGCCAAGACCAGAGAAAAGGGATGATAATAATAGCTACACTGACTCTGTTAGTCACTCAGCCGTGTCTGACTCTCTGCGACCCCATGGACTGTAGCCCACCAGGCTCCTCTGTCCATGGGATTTTCCAGGCAAGAATACCACTCCCTTCTCCAGGGGATCTTCCCAACCCAGGGATGGAACCTGGGTCTCCTGCCTTGCAGGAAGGTTCTTTACCATCTGAGCCACCAGGGAAGCCCCACACTCACTGAGCACTTACCCCACACATGGTGTGTTTGAAGTTCTTTGTGTGTGTTAAGTGTATTAAGTCCACAGCCACCCTGTAAGGTCAGTATTAGCATTTTGAAAATGGAATCTGAGGTTGAGTTTAGATTGCCCTACTCAGGATCTCCCAGGTTGTGAGTAGGTACCAGGACAGACTGTCCAGACCCAAAGAATACACATCATTGCACAGCCCTGGAGAGAATGAGCTAGGAAAGGAAGGAGGGACCAGACGTGCAGATTCTTGATTAAATCACTGAGTTTGAAGCTGAGTCATCTGCCAAGAACAGTCGAAGGAACTCGAGCTGATTTCATCTGAAAGGTTAAGCTTCTCTGGGGGTTAGCCTCATTGGAATTGGCTGTATTTCTTTAGTTCATGATGATGTTTGAAGGAATGAGTTGTTTTTCAATTATTTACAAAGGTTTAAAAGTTTAAAGTATCTCTCACATCAGGCTTAATTGCCCATTTGTCTAATCCTCCTAGAGTGCTAGAGTTTTGCACTAACTGCATACTGTGAGCAGGAAATGATCACATGGAGAGAAGCATTTTGAAGTGCTTGCAAGCTCTGTGGGATTAACATTACTGCAAAACGAGGCTAGGTTACACTCTTCCATGTGTTGTTTTAGATAAAAACTAGCAAAGATAATGCTAAAAAATTCATTAGGATATTAAATTTTGCTTTTTACTTTGAAAATAGCATGTCTTTCAGAAAAATCTGAAAATTATTTTCTCAATCATGTTTGTAATTTTAGCAAGAGAAAAACACTTTGGAAAAACTGAGCATTGCTGTATTGCAGTATTGTTCAAAACCATCTGTTGTTCCATTTGGAAAAGAGATTTCTGGCAGCTGCATTGAGAAATTTAGGATAACATAGGATAACATAGGTCAGATAATTCATTTAAATTGGTTGAAATTCAGAAAATGATTTCAACTCTTGTTTTCTATCAACCTAATAAAAATTCCTTTGCAGCCCCAACTACACAGGTGCCTGCCTCATCCAGTAATTATCAGAATTGCTATCTTAGTCATGTGTCTGATGGTTCATCTCAATTTAAAACCTAAAATAATTCTAAAGCTGTCAACTGCTTAATTTTTATTTTTAGAAATGCATTCTTGAAATACTATGCTTAAGTACACTAAATATTTCTGTGTTCAGAAAAGTCTCAGTTACAGCAGAAAGTATAACAAAATTGATGGGAAATTCAGAATCCCTTTTTTGCCCTTGCATTACTTGACATTTTTGTCCTATTTTTAATCTTATTTTTTGTTGGCTTAAGCCTTATACAAGCATTTCATCATATGCCCTTTAATGATCTTTTGTCACAAGTTTTGAGATAAAAATAAAAGGACCCCAGCTGACCTGGCTATGATCATTAGAAAGTCATAGTTAAGATATCAGAATGAAATGAGTGTTTATTACAAGTAGCTGCGTATCTGATTGATCGGTTGCCTTTTCTGCCTTCTCTTGCTAGAATAACAGTAAATAAATATCTAGTAGAGCTTAGTTTTTTTAGATGAGCTTCCCAGTTTTGTCATGGAGTCAGTGCTGATTCAGTTCCAGTCCCTATAGCTTATTCTATTTTATAGCAATTTCTTTAATCACAGATGTTGTATCTAAAAGCAAACTAAGACCCTGTTGTGATCCTGAAAGTTCTGTACCAAAATAGTGAGAGAGGAAGAAACTACCCACTCAGGCAGGATTTCCTAGGACAGAATTTATACCTCATCCTGACCTTCCCCTTTCAGTAACTTCACATGAACCCTCTTGAACAGGCATGTCTGTGAATGCCGCGGGTACCAGCAGTAAGGGGCAAAACCAGATGCCTAATTCAAATCTCTTAATGCCGAAGGCAGTGTTAGAGGACAGAGCCAGTTCCTTATGTCAAGATGCTCATCACATTCCTTCTTTGGGACTTCTTTGGGAAAAATCTCTATGGATAATCAAATTTTATAAGTGGAAAATGTTGAGCAGATAATAATGAAGGAGAGTTGACCCTGTGAGCTTGACAACCAGTGTCACTGAGCTGTGTATAGTAACAAGGCATCCAGTAAGGCACCTGCTTCCTCACCAAGTGCTGGACACGTTTTTGAACAGTTTGGGTCCTTCCACTTCCTCTACATGGTCAGTTGATGCATCATTTTTATAGATGTCTATAACATGAATTGGGCTGTATGTCTTCCAATTGCCAGATTTAATAGATTCTGTTTGGTTCTTCCTACTTTCATTTGATAAGTGGATTAATTCCAATGGCAGTCTTAACTCCAAAGTATGGTGGCACTGTTCTTGAGCTTCTTATGTACTAACTGGATGTTAGCCAGATCTGTGTATTAGTCCCAATTGCAGTCACACATTTTCTCTGAAGTTTTACTTATAAGCAGGTATGGACTTTATTAGAATCTTGACACGGTCATGTGCCTTCTTTACATGGTTTTAAAAAACTTTATGCGAATTTTTCAGGGTTTTTTACAGTCTGTGCCTCTTCTGTACTGCGATTTAAAGGAATCCATTTATATAATGTTAAAAGGAAGGGAGAAATCATAAAATACATTGGTATAGTTACTGAAGAAAATACACTAATCTAGTCCCGGTGTGCCTTACTCCCTTCTTCATTCTCTTTAAGATTTGGTTCCATGTGTTGAGTTGGAGTATTCACCTCTTTTTGTATGAGTAATGTTTCTTTCTCATTTGCATTTGAATCTTCTTAGAGAAAGATATAGTCTAACAGCCTTATACACTAATTGTGTGGGGCTTTTTCTTTAAGAACACATTTTCTGTGCACATTAAACACGAGGAAGACATTAAACGTCTGTAAGGTGTAACGTGATGGCTGCAGTGTGGCTTTGTTCAAAGACCTGGCCCCAGACTGCTGTGTACAGAATGCCCCTGGGTGAGAGAGTGACTGAAGACTGATG